TCGATGTATCGCATCTAGTAACTTTCGACTCAATGTTAATATATGGGTTAAAAGAATCCGAGTATCCATTCGGTTGTTATGACAACTGTTCGATCATTACGAAATGTCCGGTCAGCCGGACGTTGGCACTTTTGGCTCGTTCTAAAAACGTCCGGTCGGCCGGACGTCGGCACTTTTGGCTCGTTTTAAAAACGTCCGGTTCCCCGGACGTTGGCACTCAAAGGGTTAAAACATTAAAACAAATCAATGACATACTTTGTCCGAAGCACAACTTTTATTAAGTGAAATCTAAGTTTAGGTGTAAAGTGCCCTCCTTTTTCTCGCAAGCAGACCCTAGCTCGCTTGCGAATTGCGCCAACTGTGACCTCGTACGTCAATTTTTCCCTTACTTTCCGAGCAGCCTCAAAGATTCTCTCCCGTCACTCAACTTCAGAGTTTACAACAGTTGAGTAAACTAGACTTTTCATGTAACCCCAAACAAAAAAATCTAACCTCCTCAAGTCTGGAGATTGAGGAGGCATGTCACACTTCCTCCACGTCCAATCCATGACGGGTAGTTTTGGGATAGCCAATAACCGAAAGTTTTCAGTAAAATGTGGTGGAGCACCATGCTGCTGAAATATGATTTTAGCTCTTTGTCAGCATGATTTCAGGATCAATTTCATCCAACAACTGAGGTAGAGAGTGCTGAAGAAAATCTAGATATAAATCACCGTTCAGATTTCCTTCGAAGATATGAGGACTAATTAAACCGATCTCCAATCACACCTGCCCAAACGTTGATCCCAAACTTTTTTGAAAAGAAGCTTCTCTGGAGGCTTTTGGATTTTCATTATTCCAAAGGTGCATGCTGTGAATATTTATCACACCTCTGGTAAATCGTGATTCGTCAGTCCATAGTATTTTTTTAAGGAAGTGATATTCAACAATATCACGTTGAAGAAACCAGCGGCAGAACTCCTTTCTGGATTCGAAGTCACGAGGCTCAAATCCTTGGACCTATGCAAAATGTGTTTCTTTTCTTAGCTTAAACTTGAGCGTTGCATGTGGGAAAAAAACTACAAATTATTTGTTGCCTGCACTTAAATGTATCATTCTTTACAATAGCTTTTCTTTGCCCTACCATGTTTTTTCACAATAACGATTGAATTACATTAGGAAATTTTAAATTAGGTAAAAACGATTATCCACCATTGTAAAGCCCTTTAAATGAGGAATATTTCATAGGTCGGCCGGTTAGAAAACGACCTGCGCGAGATTTTTAGCGCATGTAGGGGAGGTAACGGCGAGGGAGGGTATGTTCCCCCTCTCCGCCAATGGCTGTTTTCACACAAACCAATAATTTTTATAGATGGCAATAATTGGTTTACCAGTATGCATAATCTAAACATTCAAAACATGTGTTAAAAATTTAACAGCTTATTGTTATATTGTTATTTAATTGATTTCTCTTTGATTAAATGTTGTTAACAATTTGCATTTGTGTTTAAAGTGAGTTCCTTGTAGTAAGTATGGGATTCTAATGTTACGTGCTTAATCTGTACCATTAATATTAGTGAGTAAAGTGGTGTATGGATTTCACAACCATTATTTTACTAGAGACCGTTGTATTTAACCACAACGGGCTCTGTTGCTAGTGATATAATAACATTTTCATGATGCTCAAATATTGATGCGATTTCGGCTATACAATATTTTTGCAGGACCTTAGTATTCGTGACCTATTTTTCTCAAGTTATGAAGAACGTAATTGTTTACATTTTGATCAGCTGTATAACTTAATTGCTGTTAATATTTATAAAAGGTTGGGGGTGGGGTGGCAGTGGAGTGGGGGAAGAGCCATAGTCCGTCTCACTCCCACAGCTCGGTATCTCTCTCCCGCACCAATGCTACGAGGAGGACGCTTTCTAACCGGCCGACCTATTGTAATATTTTATAAACTCAGTGGAACAGGGCAACCGAGAAATAAATTGCTGAATATTATTTAAATTTTCGTCAATATAAAAAATAATCTGTTTAACGAAGAAATTTTAATAGAATAATTTTCCGTACCCCAACGATTATGTGTTATATCCATTTAAAATTTTGTGCGGATTCTGAAAATGACATTTAAATTAACAATTAGTGCATTTTAAACAGAGTAATGTAGCCTTTTTCATAATAACTACAATAATTTTTTAAAAATCGTAATTTATTTGTTATTCTCTAACGGTTGAAGTTGGGAACCTCAAATGTGTGTCATTATGTCGCCATTACCATGTAGTTTAATGCAAAATTTTATTTACACTTATGACTGGACCGGACACCCTGTATATGAACACTCTTAAAAACAGAAAATGTTCCAATGGCTGGCTGCTAAACCTTTTTATGATCTGAGAGCCTTTTTAGATTTTCATTGTTAAACTGTCATGCCAACTAATAAATACAACTTATGTCAATCAATCCAGTAATATTTATGGAGGACGCACGTTTCAACCTTTAGGTCATCTTCTGCTTCGCTGTTGCACAAGGTTATTACCTAGTAAGATGATCTAAAGGTCAAAACGTGCGTCCTCCATAAATATTACTGGATTGATTGACGTAAGTTGTAATTATTAATTTAAACATCAATCCGTTTGCTACAAATCAATCATGATGTAATGCCTACTATTAAAAGTTTACTAATATTAGATTTTTTCTTGACTTTCAAATTGCTGTTTTTTTTTGTTTTTTTTTTATTTTCTAAATGTTGATTTTGTGAACTCCAAAGATTGTTGAAATTGAAATGTTGTACGTGAACGTCAAAAAGAAAGTGGGGGAACCTAGGCGCGATACGATTGCCATGGTGTCCTCATACAGGGTGGGGCAATGAAAACGCCCCAATTTGTAAGCAGTACAAAATCAATAATATTCACCCTATGGATATAAATAGCACATTGAAACACAGCTTGTCTTTTGCCATTTTAACTTAACAAAGTCATTTTTCCATTTCTTGAGAACAAAATCCTGCAAGTGACGTCCTTGTCCTACTTGACATTAGGCACTTAAAAACTCCATCAAATACTCCTCCAGCATTTCTTCAGGAATCACTTTAGTTTTTGGACAATTCTTAGCTTCGGTTCAAGCAAATCTGTGGGGTGACTTTGAAAAACCTCGAACTTCAAGTAGCTTATTAGAAACCCCCCCCCCTTCCAAAAAAAAAGGAGCCATCGTAAAGCTTTCAACAACAACAGCTTCCTGGCAAATCTCTTTGGACTTTGAGTTACTGCGACTCGCACTCTTTCAACATTTGCTGGTGTACAAAGAGTTTTGCGGCACCCACCGATTATTCTTTAGGTTTAAGCGTTTATCGTAAATAATTTTACCCAGTTCACCATTGTTTTCCAATCTGGAACAGTGCCATGTTGACCAAGGATGGAATCTGGTACAAACAATCTCTGGGTTTTTGCACAAGAACCACTATTTTAAAAATAGGTTTGCACATCAAAATCTCAGTGTTAATAGCCTTGGGCATAATATTTACTAAAATGGCATAGTTTAATTGATGTTTTAAGCACAGCTGATCATTCGTTGTTGCAACAATTAACATGTGACAGCTAAAACAAATTGTGGCGTTCTCATTGCCCCACCCTAATCATGTAGATAGTTCAAATTCTGTAGATCTAGAGATTCAAAGTAAAATAGCAAATTCCAATGGGAACCTGGGGGCCTGTACAACACTTTTTTTTATCAAGAAGCTAAAAATTAAGATTACACAAGACCATAATACAGCCAGTGTTATTGTAGTGAAACATTGGTCCTTTCCAAAAGAAATTAAGGACATTTGATGGTGTTTGAAAATATTCGGCCCAGTCTATGAAGGAGGAGTTTGGCGCTTAAGAAAAAATAGATCTACATGCCCTAAACAAAGAGCCTTATATAATAGTGCTTATACAAGCCAAAAGAATTAGTTGGTTAGGTCATGCACTTCAAAGACAGAAAGGCACAAGACTGAAGGAGGTTTGTGAGGCCATACATACAAACGAGGAAGACGTCCGTTGGGTAGGCCTAAATTAAGATGGTATGACCAAGTCAGGAAGGATGTGATAAAGTGTGTAGGAGCAATCTGGATGGCGGAGGATAGAGAAGAGTGGAGGAGGCAAAAAAACGACAGAGATTTGTGACGTCCCATCAGTAAGTAAAGATTATTTATTTTATTAACTTTCAAAATTGTGATAAATCTATAATATTAATTAACTAACTTAAAAATGTTGACTCTTCCCATACATTGTTATTGTAATACAGTAGAACCTTGATAACAAGACTCTCATGGGGATTGTAAAATAAGACTTGTTATCAAGGTTGACTTCTTGTCGAGGTTTGTAATAACATGTGATTAGGGGTAAAATAATTTTGTGGGGATTTGAAAATGACACTTGTTATCAAGGGTGACTTCTTATCGAGGGTCTTCTTATCAAGGTTCCACTGTAATATATCAGATGTGTCTAAATGTACTGTTGTGTTTAGTTAGTCCTAGTTACATTGTGAAACATTCATATTCTGTTGAATGACAATTTCTTAAAATCATTCATTACATTACAAGAAAGTCTTTTAATTGAAACACAAGCGATGTTAATCAGTGCTTTATTGTTATGTCTGAATAAATTCCAAGTTTGATTTTTGAATAATTCACAATATTACACACTGAGATGGAAAGGAAAATTATCTGTAGACTGAATGAAAATTACATCAATGGGTCTGCTCTAACTACAGTAATTGTGGTGTATCCAACTCCCCTGATGCACTCACTGGAAAAATGTTAAAGATAAAAATATGGGTTAAAACAAATCTTTCAACATTCTTTTCTCTTTTATACATCTCAAAAGATAAATTTTACTAGTAGTCTGAGTCTGCTAATTTCTAAGAAAAACTTGCACAAACTATTTCTATATTTTTTGTTTATGTGCAAAACAAACTTGTTGTGGAAAAGGATAAAAATAAAAAAGGTACAAATATAGACAATAGTAATTTATTTCCTAAAACTCAATTGAGAACAATATATATTCATGCAAATTTATAAACAGTTTATTTTGTCACAACTTTTAACAAAGTTAATCATATTTATAATAAAAGTATGACCGAATGATAAAACATATCAAAATATAATTTCAAATCCATTCAATAATAATGTGTAACTTAGGCTACCGATGAAAATGATCTTATAATAAATATATAAATAGATATCTAAGAACAAACTATGCTACTAAAAGCCGATCTTAAAATTTAACACTTTGTGTAAATGCAACCACAAAATGTTTGTACATTTTAAGATTTGTTGTGTGAAAGCATTGATAAATATTCAGATTTAGAGTAAAAATGGTATCTTTATAAATAGCAATTGTGTACACTAAATTGTAACAGCCTCAACTGTTAATTTTGCGCACACATCAAATGAAGGTTAATTAACAACTTAAAAGCAGTAATTAATATCCTAATGGTTTTGATTCATTCTGAAGATATAATTAACATCACCAGGAAGTGTTTTGGTTTAAATACAAGAATATCAACTTCACTATTGAAAAATAATAAATAAAACTACAGGATAAAAATTCAACATTTTAGCCTATATAAATAAAAACTTCTTTCACACGAACAACTGATTTTTAAAACTACACAATAACTTAAGTAACAAAATTTATTTAAATTGCGCTAAAATAATAAAATATCAATCTCTATTAACAAAGGATAAAATTATTTCAGTTGTTTAAACTGCGATAATAAATAATCTTTTATGCTGGTGGCGAACACAAGACATATACACAAGACACTTACGACTAGTATTTACAATAATACATGATGCCTTAGTGGCCGAGCTTCGGCTTGTAAACCCCACGCTATCACACGAGTCGAGTTACGGACGACTCATTAGCAACAGTGACAACTCGAGTTCCGCAACTGACACCAAGGTAAGCGGGGCAAGACGACGCTAGCGCCGGTGTTGGTAAAGGTTGAGATCACGCTACAACTAAACTGACAACATCGTCGTCTTGGTGTTGATCATCTACACTTAATCATCTACAAAAGGATGAAATTAGATTACATGATTTGTATGAGTGCCTGGAAGTTTAAACATCGTTTTCCCATTTCAACAGTCATTATTTAGAATTATAGTTCCGGAGGGGTACTGACCAAATCATTTCAAGATATGAGATCAACAGATTAAAATATTTTAATTTTACAATAAACTTACTTATAATTTTCTAAGCTAGAAACATGAAAATGGGTTTACTGTAAAATTGAAATATCTAATATATAAAATTCTCGTGTCACAGTGTTTGTCTGCAAACTCCTCCGGAACGACTTCACCGATCGTTATGAAATTTGGTGTGTAAATTCTGTAGGTATGCGAATCGGACGTAAACTATTTCCCGTTTCGAAATTCGTAAAAGGGCTCCGCCTCAGTGGCTCTGGAGTTTCCCATGTTAACCTTATGAGAAATGGAATTAATGAATCTTAACAGCTGTTTCAATTAAACAAGTTGGTTCTGTTCTATGATGTTCAATAGCATTAAAGTTACAAGGATTACCAACAGGGTGCAGCACTATTATTTCTTTTACATTTATGACAACAGCTAATTTGCAACCAAAAGGTGAGTGAGCGTAGCGAACGAACTTCAACCTGGAGGCGAGTTAGCGTAGCGAACGAGCTAACCTGAAGGCAAGTGAGCGCAGCGAACGAGCTCCAACCTAAAGGTGAGTGAGCGTATCGAACGAGCTCCAACCCAAAGGTGAGTGAGCGTAGCGAACGAACTTCAACCTGGAGGCGAGTTAGCGTAACGAACGAGCTAACCTGAAGGCAAGTGAGCGCAGCGAACGAGCTCCAACCTAAAGGTGAGTGAGCGTAGCGAATGAGCTCCATCCCAAAGGTGAGTGAGCGTAGCGAACGAACTTCAACCAGGACGTGATTGAGCGATGCGAACGAGATCATCTTGAAAATTAAACGTAACGGTACTTTCTTTCCATCGGTCTGTCTTAGGGGAAACCTATAACTTAGGCGATACGAAGTTCGCCGGGTCAGCTAGTAGTTTTATAAATTTAAGTTATAACAGAAATGTTATGTAAATAATAAGTAGCAAGAGAACTTAAATAACCGGACCCTGAATGATAAGTAACAAGTTGACCTACCTACACATTACAAATCCCTTTCAACTTCCAAGATAAGCCTACTTAAAACTTTGTAACACAAACATTGATGGGATGAGTTCAGTCATTAAAATAAATAAGCTTACGTTAGTGATTTAGTCTTATGATCAACATTCTACTACACAACTAATTCAAAACCAAATATATCTCATATCTTAATATCTCATATATTTTATTTAATTGCCATTAAGTGAACGCTTTGCTGTAGATTGAGCATGCAAACCCAAACTAATTTAATTACAGTTTAAGTTTTCTCTTATTAGATTCAATGTCAAATGGAATGCCAATTTGTTATACATTTCCAGGAAATTTACAATAATTAGGTTTGGGGATTATAAAAACAATGTTTTATTGCTAAACAATTTGAAGGGACAACCTGAATAGGACAGAGAGCGAGGAATGGCCAACATTGATATGTGTGTTTAATATAAAATGCCTACACTTATTACAGTTTAAACTTTAAAAAATTATTTATTTTTATTTTAAGTGATTATTATTATAAATTTCCTTAAACTCCCATTATCCTAAGAAAAGTCTCAAAAACTTGATCAGATCCAATTGTTAAAATGGGTAAACTTCTACACATAGTAGTAAATTGACATAAAAAATTCTTAAGCATACTCTATCGTGCGAAACATGAGAAAATGAATCACAAATAAGTCTGACTATAATTAATAGTCGGGACAAGTTCCAACCAAACATTTGGAAATAGCCATGACTATGCTACGAGGTGGGTGTACAACACAAAAGATTTCTTAGTTCAGACTCACAACACAAATACAGCTTAACTCTTAGTAAAATGGAGTAACGGTCGTCTACAGCAACGAACCACAAACAACCGAAGCATAAACACAATGCTAGACGGAGGCGAGATATGAAATATACTATGACATCTCACTTAACATTAATCGTGTGCACAACATTCATCTAATCTATATTATTTAGCTATGCACTATTCTTTCAGACTAGAATTAGTTTCCTAATCTTAAAAATAATGCATATAAAACCGCTTTTCACATATATACAATTTGTAAATCAGACACCCTCAGTCAACTGGAATTTTATAGACTTTTTTTGTCTTTAAGGTATTATAGAGACAAACCAATTTTATTGTTTCAAATACAACAGTTACGACAAACACTTAACACATGTAACATTCAGTATATCTACTATAACGTAATATTATGCATTGAGATCTCGCAATCCCTCGGAAACAAACTTTACTCTTCTCTTTGGGTGTCATCTTAACATAAACCTGGGATCCAACGTTCAACAGAGATGGCCTCCCTCTCAGGCTCCATGTTCTGGACAAGGCACGTCACTCGACTCACACGGGTGTACACAGCTAGCAAAGGAAATAGGTGAAACTTAAAACTATGGCAAAGGAACAAGGTGAGGTTAGAAGTTTAAAAAATCTATTAGTCATTGTCATTTAGCAAAGCAAAAGCACAATGGTGTAAATTGTAAATTTGTATTGCTGGGAAACAATGACGATGCGATTATTTTACAGTACAGTACTATTTGGCTTCAATTCCTGGACTTGTATGTAGTAAAATGAGAGGTGAACTAACCTAATGATTAAAGAAAAATACAGTAACTTAGTCACAAAAAGGCCTGACTAAAATCATGTGTTTATGTTTCACAGTTTAGAAATAATGTAACCAAATTACTACTGAAAAGGTCGAGAGTGAAGTTAAGGTTGTACGTAATAAGCTGAGCCTGAGAGAGAAGTCGTGATAGGAACTACAATTGTGTAATACTGCATGTGCTTATTGCTACGACTCCTCTGTGCTTATGGTAACATATTAAACACTAGTTGGCAGTAGTCAGACTTGCGACAGTTGGTCTCTGTCGCTCGTCCGGATTATCTTATAAACACGCAGAGCCATTCGATTCATACTCGATATAAAAGATTGGACCCTCGAAGTCGTGATTGTTTGGCAACATCATCGAAACCGGACCTAAATATTCCATCTATCCGTTGTTAAGTACAAATTTATTTAAAATTGGTGTCGATCGTATCGCGACTCCGGGTCGACGAATATCACTCGGACAATTTGATTGTCGATTTTAATATACATAACAGAAAACAGTTAAATGAAATAATTAGGTCTTTAAAACAAAGTGATGTCTAGGCGCAGTCAACGTTAATTATTACTAGGGCCGGGTTGAACTACTTCACCCGGATTGGAGGATTCATCGTAGCCCGAGTCTGATGAGTTGTCGCTATAGATCTTGGTGGACGAGGCGTCGGTGGTGGCGACAGCAGCAGTAGTGTTAGTGGCAGTGGTGGTGGGCGCTGCAACGTGAGTGTGTGCGTGCGCACGCTTGTACACACAAGGCTTGAGGAATCGGGGATCTACAATCACCTGACCATGCGGTCCTTTGAATATCACTCCACAGCACACTTTCTCCCTGAAACACATTCACCATTTATTGTGATCCCTTCTGCTGCCACAATTGTAGCCATTACTGTTAAGTTGTATAAACTTTTAGAGACTTTGGACATCACATTTATATGGGCCAGCTGCAGCTATTTTTTCATTCCTAGTTGAATGGTCCACTCATAGGGAGCGCTGCCTTCAAATGTCAATTTAATCCTGTAGAAGTTAAATATTTTATTTGATAAAAAAAGTGCTATAATTCAAAACGTATAGTCCTTTCAATTTTCCTAGGTTTATTCAACACAAATCAGTAATAATTGACAACAGCAATTTGTCTATGCTCATTTTTTTTCTAAAAGTGGCTACAGATTTAATATGAGAATTGAATGTGTAGTTCTAACTTGAGTTGATCAAGACCTAAATTCTGAATTTGTATTATTTTCAGACAGGATTTTTAGGTAGGGATTTTTTGCAAAAGGATTTCCTCTGGATGGAAAATATAATAAGGCTTGCAAATAACCTACAAGTTTTGTCATGTGTCAATGAAAACAAATAAAACTTTTAACTAATTTGTTACATCAACTTATTCAAGAGTACACAGAAATTAAATTATACTTCCCCAAAAATTAGGAGTAAAAGAAATAGGGAAGCTCGGTACAGGAATTTCTTTTTACTAAAAGGAAGTATACCTTCATGCCTTAGTGTGTGTGGTTTAATATAATCATCGACTATGAATAGTCATGCACAAATGGCAGAAGTGATGTTTATTACACTGTTTGTTGGTACATACCTCTTCCAGAACGTCATGTCCAGGAAGCTGCTGACAGGTGGTGAGGTGTTGATGTGCTTGTGACCTCGGACATACATCTCCATCGGCTCCTCTTCCTCCACAGACCTCGGACTCGCAGGTTCAGAGTCCGCCTCTACATCTCCTGGACAATCAACAGACAGTAGGCTGTTAGCAAGTGACCACTAAAGGATATCTTATTGAGTCCTTGTTTAGCGATATAAAAAGGTGAGTCTAACATTTTAGGATACAGCTATTGTTGGAGACATTGCATTGAAATGGTTCATCTATCAAGGAATAAAGACTCATCTACAGTAAGTACCTGACATTTTCATAGGTAGAACTACCATTTAATAATAGTGAGATAGCTCAATAATATTTATAGAAGTAAAATTTTTTTAACAATAACTATAATTTGTTTACAGTTAATCAAGGAAGCAAAAATGTAGGTCTACTACTAAAGGGTTTTCATGAAAACTACTAAAAAAATAAGTCATAACTTTTAATTAATACCTTGAATCTAATAGTCAATGTTAATAGTAATAGGAGGTAATAATATTTATTACAGCTTGAAGGAACTAGTCAGCTAGACTAGAACCAAAATAACAGTAGGCCTAGTGGGGTAGTGGTTGATATAACATTAACCAACAAGTCTATTTAACTTAAACGACCAGCATTAAATCCCAGAGTATTGTATCAATAGAGGAACAAGGGGGTGGCCCTTTCAAATAGTAAACAAACCAAGGGTAGGATTTGCACAAAGATATAAAGTCTAGTCATAAATAGGCCTAGTTTTATTTACCACCAAAACTTAAAACTGACCTGATATGTCATTCATTGCGAAATCATTTTGTTCATCGTTTTCTATAGCTTTTTTAGAATCCTCATCCATTTCTTCTTCTTCAATATGTTTCTTGCTTTTGATTTTATGTTTGGCATTTTTCTTCGACTTGATCTTAACAAACGACTTTGTTCCTGGGCCGGCCCTTGCATCAACAACCTAAAAATACCTAAGTGTTAATTACATCAAAATGTGTCGGTGATTATAAATAGTACAATTATAATCTACTTATCATAAGCTATATGTGTACCATTTGTCCCCACAGTAGGCTTACTTGTAATAAATTACAATAAACTATCGCTGGACAAGTGAACCACCAACTTAAAATTACAACTGTGGTTATTGGAGAAGTCTTTTCAGTTGTTTGAAGATTATTTGAAAACACATAAACTTATTTTAAAATGGCTTTGGTTTTACAATTTATCTTCTTATTTATAATTTTTTCTTACAGGCACGAGCCTGGGATTGTTTTTCACATTACTTCAGGCTAGACCTAGGGATTGCAGCATTATCAATTACATAAAATCCATTGGTGATTTGGCGGAATTTGAACCCGGGACCTCTTGGACTGAAGTCCCGCGCTCTAACCACTATGACCAGCTCGCTCCTCCCTTACCCAATTTAGAAGACATCTTGTTTTAAATGTTTCTTCATTATTCTCCAGAGATCTATATTGATGTCTTATGACAAAAAATATATAAACAAACAAGATACTAAAGCCTGGATGGAGTGAAAAATACAAAAGACAAACGTACATGACGCCAGTGGCGTTGCGTTCCGGGTGGTAGTTTCTTCCACCTCTTAACCAACAAAACACACGCATTGCACACCTCTCCCGCACGCCTCTCCTCCAGCTGGAAACAATCTACAAAGTCTTCCTCGTACTTCTTGCTATCAGTGAAGCGTGAACTGAAACACAAATATTAACACATTCAGTTATATTACAATGAACTGAACTCAAACACAAATATCAACAAAGGTTAGGTTATAATGAACTGAAACACAACTATTAATATCAAGTTATGTTACAATGAACTGAAACACAACTATCAACAAAAGTTAGGTTATAATGAACTGAACACACAATTAGTAACATCAAGTTATGTTATAAAGAACTGAAACACAAATAGTAACATTAAGTTATGTTGTAATGAACTGAAACACAAATAGTAACATCAAGTTATGTTATAATGAACTGAAACACAACTATTAACATCAAGTTATGTTATAAAGAACTGAAACACAAATAGTAACATTAAGTTATGTTGAAATGGACTGAAACACAAATATCAACTTCATTACTGTATAGGTTTAAATAATGAACTGAAAAATGTAAACATTGAGAAAAATGTTATAATGAAGTGGAACACAACCTTGCGTTAGGTTACAATATACTGAAATACAAATATCAACTTCTTGATAGGTTATTATAATGGTGTGTAATAGAATACTGAGGGCAACCTAGTCTAAAAAATGTTGCCACTTAGGAAAAATAAAATGAGTTGTGAGTTTCCTCTCATTGTGTGGCACACTTGTTTATCATCTAGAGCTAAACCATTATTAAAAAAATACCCCCGCCGCAGCAAACCTGCAGACTAAGCAAATTTCCATATGTCTGATTGGATTTACACTAAAATGTCTACTTAAAAATTTAACATTTATTTCCTATTTAAATAGAATTATTTTAACAGGTACTTAGGTTTGCTGCATCAGGGAGGGTAAAACTTTTTTTTGTAAAATGTTAATAGTTAGTAAGAAATAAAAACATTTTCTAAATTTGATCAAAATATGTTCATAAACAAGCAAACTACAACAGTTTACTCATTCTCCATAAGAATAACATGGGAATTTAAAATTTACATTTTTTTGGAATTTTCTCCGTAACCATTAGGCGCATAGTAACACTTCAATATACTAAATTATTTGTTTTTTTAAGCTCTACAAAATGGTTTGAAAAGATTTTGCAAAATTTTTTTTTTTTTTTGTCTAAAGTGGGAAAATTCTATTTTTACCCCATAAAACCCCCCGTAAACCCCCGTTCCCATAGTCCGATCATGCTGGTTCGCGAACTCGTTCGAGTTTATCCCGCCTTACACCTTCAAACCAAATTTTATCAAAATCGGACAAAAATTACTCAAGTTATCGTGCGGATGGACACATATATATATATATACTAGCTGACCCCGCGAACTTCGTATCGCCTAAGTTATAGGTTTCCCCTAAGACAGACCGATGGAAAGAAAGTACCGTTACGTTTAATTTTCAAGATGATCTCGTTCGCATCGCTCAATCACGTCCTGGTTGAAGTTCGTTCGCTACGCTCACTCACCTTTGGGTTGGAGCTCGTTCGCTACGCTCACTCACCTTTAGGTTGGAGCTCGTTCGCTGCGCTCACTTGCCTTTAGGTTAGCTCGTTCGCTACGCTCACTCGCCTCCAGGTTGAAGTTCGTTCGCTACGCTCACTCACCTTTTGGTTGCAAATTAGCTGTTGTCATAAATGTAAAAGAAATAATAGTGCTGCACCCTGTTGGTAATCCTTGTAACTTTAATGCCATTGAACATCATAGAACAGAACCAACTTGTTTAATTGAAACAGCTGTTAAGATTCATTAATTCCATTTCCCATAAGGTTAACATGGGAAACTCCAGAGCCACTGGGGCGGAGCCCTTTTAAGAATTTCGAAACGGGAAATAGTTTACTTCCTATTCGCATACCTACAGAATTTACACACCAAATTTCATAACGATCGGTGAAGTCGTTCCGGAGGAGTTTGCAGACAAACACTGTGACACGAGAATTTTATATATTAGATATCTATATATAGATATATAAAAATTTGAACGAATGGTGATTTTGGCCTCTGGGGACATCAAAATGAAAAAGTAAATCGGTCCCGGGCCTAGGTCTTACCATGAGACCTACGGTAATAGCTACTTCCCTATAGGGAAATTCGCTAAAATGCACATTGTTATTCTGGTTTGTTGGAAAAATAATAGTGTAGGTATTATTATCCATCCACCTTTTAATATCAATTATTCAATTTGAGGGAGAACACAGCACAACAGCTTTTGAAACCCATTTCTTATGAGAACTTTAAAAATCATAACTAAAACAGAAACATTATCCACAGAGTAGGCTAAATATAGGTTTTTGGATATGAGTTGAATAATAATAAAATTCTAGGTTACATTTAGTGCAATGAGAATTGTGGGCTACCTAAAATTTAATTTTAGGTATACATTTCCTAAAGTTATTTAGACACAAATTAGCTACTATTTTAGAATTGAGAAAAGTCCATTGTCAGTATTTTTGTGATCAAAAAAGGTTTTGTAATGTACAAACATTGACTATTGGATACTGAAGTAGACATCCCATCTATATGGACCAGCTGTCGCCAATTTTTTACTAAAAAAGAACGTAGTTGTGTGAGCCAGTCAGTCATAGAATGCGCTACTAGTGTCTAAAATTCTATTTTATACCTTAATTTTTGTTTCTGACCAGGTTGATAGGTCATAACAGTTGCTATAGCTCCATAAGTCATTCCCTAATTTTGACTCGGTAAAAAGATTTGTGTACATGACAGAATTTAGTAATTTTGATCAGCGCAATCTGTAGGTGGCTCACATCAACTATGACAATTTTGATAAAAAAACCTCCGGGCTACAAATTTAACATAGGAGGTACAAGTGACAAACATTAATTGAAGTAGAAAGGGATAAGGAGGGACAGAAAGAGATTGAGATGGGGAAGATGGTGTTGACTATGCCTATTGTATTTGTATTAATGTAGTGAATGTACAACTAAATAAACGGTATCAGAAATCTGACACATACTTTCTCCCATTAACTTGTCAACAACCGGTATCATAAATGGTGGAGGGAAAAAACATATGTGTGCTATTCCCGCCATATGCTGACATCACACAGATTGCAAACAAAAAATCACCTGATTGTATTGCCATATAAATTTGTTTTGATGTTGTTTTTATAACTTTTTCTAAATGGTGAAATGGGGTTTGCAATCTGGGTGATGTCAGCATATGAGGGGATATAGCACAGCTATGTTTTTTCCTTCCACCATGGTTATCATCCGGGTAAGCAGTGGGAGTAGGCCTAACTATGATATTTTACAGGGAAAATCACAAAAGTTGCAATAACTATTGAACCGTAATTTGTACAGCAATGGGGGGTGCACTATTTAAAATAAATATATTACAATAACTTTTGAACTGTAATTTATAGAGTAATAGGAGTTGTACTATGGTATACTTAGAGGGAGAAAGTAAGAAGAAGTCTGCTAGGTTTCAAAATTCAGTTTTAATTATATTTTCAAACTGTGTAACTTGCCAGAAATATTTTGTACGAGGTGATCAAAAATAATATGTTTTTTTTAAATCTGGACTAGTACATCTAGTTTCACCTAAAAAGGGTTGTCTTTAAAGGCTAATAGCTTCAATTGTAAACATCTAGGTAAAGCTAGGCAAAGCCTAATTTTTCACAAAAATACCATTAGGCTGGATTTAAATATTATTACCTGCTTGATTTTGCTTTGCATATGCAGCAGCCTGATGTTGAGCGGTAGACTTTTGGTTTGTGGAAACTAAACATCTTTATTGCACCTGAAAAGAAACATTTTGAAGTATTATCGAAGGAGAAAATCTATAAGATTAGTACAAGCTAAGAAAACATGGTAGGCTGCAGTCTAATACAGTGTAGGCCTACAACAGTTTTTTACAGAGTACCTATGTTCAATCTGTTATTCATTCACAGAAATTAAAGTAGGCTAATACATGCTGTCACCTTTTAAGAATGTCTATAAGTTTTCTATTTTTTTGACGCAATCTATCCAACTTTTGTTGGTCAAAGATGAAGGAATCAAGTATTCAAGTAAGTAAGTATGTATGCTATTAGTAAAAGTATTAAAGTAGGGTATACCCTATTTTATTGTTGGTTAGGACTATGTTTGACATACGAGTCAGTCTGAAGAAAATGTATTATTATAAGAGATCGATGCAGACAATGTGTGCATATTCAAGTACAACATGTAAAATTGCGATACTTGGATATTAACTTTTTAAGACTAGACGCAGCCTGGGCTGTCTTGTGGGATCGACTGTAAGTAGGCTGTAGGCTTAGGGGGCCTACTTAATTTGTGATTAAATTAAGTTACTGTCAAGTTTGAGCAAATTTGACTTTTCAAAAGAGAAATAAATTATCAATGTTTCTCATTGATGGTGTTGAATCTTGTTAGAATTGTCTGTCGGTTCAACTATTCAAAGCAACCAGACGTGTAATTTTAATACCCATCCAAAACGTGCAGATAAGTTAGGAAACTTATTATTGGCCTAAAAGTAAATTATAACATTTAACTTAACTTATTGCACGATAATAAGGGTACAGTATGTCGGAATCACTAAGAGCAATCAGTGTGAAATAATAATTAATTTAATTTTTTCAAGATGGAATAAGTCTTATGCCTCCAGATTGCTAAAAATTCTCTATTCTAGCTCCAATTTCTAAAAAACGTCCAGGTGATACCAAATTCTTTTGGAGCCCCACCCTTTTTGTAGGGTCTTCTTGCACTCCTTCTACCCCCCCCCCCCCCAAAAAAAAAAAGTCTGGCACCCCATTTCCAAGACCCTGGAAACTGGATAAATTGGGTGACTCCTTGAAAATCAACTCAATTGGCTTTTTCAATAAACTGTCTGGCAATGCAAAATTTTTTTTAAGTTTATTAGCCCTGTTTTTTTTTTTTTTTTTTTTTTTATTGAATTAATAAAATTTGTTCAAAATCCTTTTTACAGCCTAAGTGAATCTATCAACTGCTAATTTGATAAGTTATTAAATTATGATTAAAATAATTTATTGGTAATGTTTAAGTTGATTGTATTTTTATGTAGCCTAATCTTATTATGTAGGGTGCAATGTACACATAAGTTATAAGAAATTTGATTGTATAAGTTATTAAGATGATTATTATATAGCACTGCCGTCCGTAAATCAATGCGTTGGTACCACAAAATTGCAGAAGAACTGATCCTAGGTACTGCCGTGGTAAATGCCTGGCTTGCTTATAAGGAGAATGTAAGTGGTACTAACAATAGAAAAAAAACCGGACTCTATCACTTCATTCAGGGAAAAAATAGTGTATATGCTCTCCTGGATATTCAAGATGCTGCTGTAGAACCCGTTCGACAAACTGGCCATCACTACTTATCCGAGTCTGAGACATTCATTGGGGAAGGAAAAAACAGAAGGCGATCGAGAAAGAACTGTAAATTGTGTTACAAAAGAGTGATGAATGAAGGAGGACGGCAGGCAGCAAAGAAGTTAAAAAAGGTAACAACATTCGATAAGCCTTACTTATGCAAGAACTGTTTGTTTTATGAACATTCACTAGTAGACTAAAGAGACAGGAACACAAGAAGGTGCCGGTAACTGTAACATTGTTTTAGATTTTTTGAATCTAAGTAATTATACGTTTTTATTCTTTTACAAATGTATTTTTTTCAGCAGCATACTTTCAGAAACAAAAAATTTATAACAAACAATGTTTAGTTTTTGTTTATCGACTAATGTACTGAGACAATAAATAAGATTATTCTGTAAATACTTTTTTATTTCAAACCCAGCGACAACTTTAAAATAAACATTTTTTACAATTTTATCAAAATAAAAAATACCTACCTAATACAAGTTACTTATCAGTATTCTTAGTAATGATTACAATGATACATAAAGTAAAGCAACTTGTAGAACATTAAATTTATTATTTTACACGAAATTGCCATTTTTCAATCGTAAGTAATGATGAAACCATCTAAAACAGCTACGCCGACCCGATCGGGTCGACACATTTTGACTATGTTGACATTTTTGTTTAAACCATATGTAGAATCATCAGAAGCTTCAATCAACGCTATCTAGTAGGAACGGGATATACTCTGCTGTTGCAGTACGCTTGATCGCCGCTAGTTGTCAGTGAGGGCCATCTATCGGCCAAAAAGTGAAACCTTACATTCCTGAGGTGTCGACCCGATCGGGTTGGCATGTCATTCCATCCGACCTGGTTATGCCGACCCGATCGGACCAGCGCGGCAGTTAACGTGTTAAAGCTTTGGATTTTAAGTAATTTTATTGGTGTTTAAGGCCTGATACAATTTCATTCCAATTTAATCTGGTTTGTGATTAAATGAAATGACTTTTAAGTGTTGGACTGCATGTGTGCCCCTTTTTGGTTGTTAAGGATTATTTATAGCATAGATCAAAACTGATTCCAAAGCTCCTAAGTACTTAGTCTTGGTTTACCATGTTAAAAAATACACATGTTAGAATTTTGGCTTGGTAGGTCACAAAATGAGTTTTTAAGCAAAACGGTGCAGTCTGTTACGATGATTTGCCATGGAAAACCATGATAGGTCTTGAACATGAAATATTTATCTTAAAGGGAAGTTAGCTTAGTAACTTAGCCTACCTAGACAACTTAAATAAAATCTTAACAATGTGAAAAATTGTGATATTTAAAAGACCTTATTTAAGTTAGCTGTAGATTATTTATTACCTAACATCGCTAACTAATTTAAGTTAGCTTAGTAAGTTAGAGACAGAATCATTAAACTTGAGAGTTGTTATTAGCCTAGGCCTATTATCATTTTAGGTAAGAAGTTTAATTAGGTTTTTAAGATAAGTTTGGTGGGCCTAAACTGTTACATTATACATTTAAAACTTTGGAAGATAGGCTTTTTACTTAACTTATGTGATGTTTTGACTGTAAATTTTAAAGGTTCTTCAAAAGATGAAGAATGGTTTTAGCGTCCTCAAGTTAACGTACTTAACTTAAGTTAGGACCTAGCTTAAAAATGAAAAATAGAAAGTTTCGACCAATAGACAGCTAACTTATAATTAGGCTACGTAAGCTAAATTTTGTAAAGTTGGTGTAACAGTTCCAAGGAATTAGATGAGAGGGTGTCAGTAAGTCAGTTAAAATAAAGTTGTGTCAATAAACTAAAGTTAAGTTATCATACCTCATAACTAAGTTTAAGTTAACTTAGGCTAAAATGCAAGTTAAGACATAGGCTAGGTTAAAAGTTTACTAATAGCTTTTTAAGTTAGGTAGGTAGGTATGTAAAATATAACTTAGCCTATATTTTTTTATTTGGTTGGCCACTATACAGGAATCTAACTTAACTTAAGTTATAGCCTATCAGTTTTGGCATGAATTGACCCATAAGACTCAAACTCAGACATCTTTATTTTTAACAGTACCAAGCCTACAAACTGCATAACTTAATTGTCAACAAATATTTTCCACAAAGAAAAACAACAGGTTCTTATAGACAAAATCTAAAACTAAAAGATGCAAGACTGTTTAAAGTAGGTCACCCATAAATCTAATGACAAGCCACTTGGTATGAAAATAGCTCCCAGAAAATTTTATGAAAAAGACAAAGACAATGGTTTATTTATGCAAGTAAGTTATGTTACAGTATAATGGTTTGCTTCAATCATAATAACAAAATGATTGTGAGTGAATATTATAAAAAAACTTTGGGTGAGTTATTAGAGGAATTGGATTTCTGTAATTTTGTCAAATATGAAGGGTAGGGTAACTTAAGTTAGCCTACTACTACTTGGTCGGCTTAAAGACCATTAAGCAACAATTATTATTGTCCGTTTCTTAACCCATTAACTGTCAATATAATATTTATTTCTGAATAGCAAAAGCTATACATGAAAACTACAAAATGTAACCATATTAATTGACCTTAAACTTTGACTAAGTTACTTCATTTCTCCCATGATGCACGATGGCATTCATAGCCAAGCCGTACACTGATTCAAAGGGTGAAAAGAGCCCAAAACGCTTTATGAAAACAGCGAACATCGAAGATTGATATTTCATCAAAGAACCATATGGGAAAAGTCTTCAGTGTGTAATTATAATAGGAAAAGTTGTTAAACGTTACAACGTTTGAAAAGTACCGAATTCATGAAACTTAAAGCCGTTTATTTTTCAACGCCAAGGTCGGTTAGCAACCATAGAAAACATAGTTTTCTTGACAGATTATTACGAATTATACATAAGATATAATATGTACATCAACTGATTAAACCTACTTTATATGAAAATAATTTACTTACCTTTTTTATTTAAGAAAGTAATAAATTAATGACAGTCACACAACACTGACAATCAACCCCTACCCAGGCTTTCTTCCAGTCCAGGCCAGCCAACCAAACCACAAAACAAACGCTTCTTTTAGCTATAACAAACTCAGCAGATTGACCAAACTACAAAACAATATTTTCCTCCTTACTTCATCATACTGTAAGAAAGTGCATCTCTACATAAACTGCATGCTGTAAGAATTGCGTAAGTGAAATCTTAGATGTGAAATGTAAAATCGAATTTGAATTATAAAACTCATGAAAACTATCATTTTCACGAATTATTTAATCGTGGAGTGCGACCGTTCCACGAATACTAGTACTAAAATCTATGGAGGTGGTACTCTTATTGCGATACGCAATGATATTCCGAGCAGTGCATTAACCCCAACTACATGCTCGGCTGAATGCGTTTTTGCCTCTATTAATCTTCCCGGCTCTACACTTGTCCTTTGCTGCGTCTACATTCTTCCAAACCATCCATCCCGTGCTTATTTAAATTTCTCCAATTCATTTGATGAAGTGATATCATCTGCTAGCACCTGGGATAACATACTGTAGCTCGGTTACTTCAATCTTCCACATACTGATTGGTCAAGTGATGACGACAACCCTACATCAATCTCTCCTCGATATTTGAATGACCTTGCTTCAGCTTATGGACTTAGACAAATCAACTCAGTCCCGTAATCTCCGTGGGGTGTGTCTTGATCTGTTTTCTCTTCCCTTCAAGACTGCAACTCGGGCTGAGGACGCTCTTCTTGACGAGGACATGCATCATCCTGAACTTTCTGTTTCATTTACATAACATAATTCTTACTCTCACCAGCCTCCTAAGTTTGTATTGGACTTTCGCAATTGTGATCTGGATGGAATCTTTCTTTCGATCCAAAACTTAACTTATCCTCTGAAATTTGATCAATTAATCCCAAATGACAACTTCTCTGGACATGACATCTTGTAAAACAGTTCACCCATCTAAAAAAGATCAGAAGTACGACCTTTCCTAGATGGTTTTCTGCTGAGCTGAGAAAACGTATCATTAAAAAGAAAATTGCCCACAAATCGTACAAAGATTCCAACTGTTACTCTGATCTGATGCAATTTAGAACACTTAGAAGGAAATGCAAGGGCCTTGCCAGAATATGTCAGGATAACTACTTGAGAAAAGTTGAAGAGGACATACCAACAAATATTAAATCCTTCTGGTCACATACGTATCAATAATCTCAAATCTAGCCCTATGCTATTCCGCCAATCTTATCTTTTGAAAATACTGTAGCTGTGGACCCTTTGGATAAATGTGAAGCCTTCGCCAATCACTTTTCTTCTGTCTTCAGCAATGATGTGCTACCTATCCCTACTTATGACTAAGGATGGAGCATTTAGTATTTCTAAGTACATCGTAACTGTAAATGATGTTTTTCAGAAACTAATGACCCTCAACCCCAACAAAAGCGCTGGCCCTGACAATATACCGCCTCTAGTTCTCAAATATTGTGCTCCTGTTCTTGCTCCCCACCTAGTGGTTTATTTCAATATCATGATTAGACAGGGTATCTTCCCCGACTCTCTTAAAGAAGGCTTTTGTTGTCCCCATTTTCAAGTCCGGAGACAGATCGAATGTTATAAACTATAGACCTATTGTTATTCAGTACACTATGGCAAAGGTTTTTGAGAGCTTACTTCTCGATTTCCTCTACTTCCACTCGAAGAAATACATAGTCGATGAGCAGCATGGGTTTCTTCACGGACGATCTACAGTCTCCAACCTTGTTATGTATTCCAAGAGTTCGCCACCAGAGTTTCAGTGTATGGCCGCCCTTACCGCATCGAACCAAAGTTGATTGTGTCTATTTGGAGTTTTCAAAAACTTTTGACAAAGTCAACCATCGTCGTTTAGTTGCCAAGCTCTCTGGTTATGGAGTCGGTGGAGCCCTGCTGGGACTACTAGAAAGCTACCTTACTGGAACAGCTAATGGACAGCTAATGGTTAAATGTGATGGTGCCATATCTCAGCCTTTTCCTTTGCCATCCGGGAGTTCCACAAGGTTCACATTTGGCTCCTATTCTTTTTAATCTGTTTATAAACGATATTGGCAAGATTATACAACTTTTTGTGGAGGTTCGTTCTGTGTTGGATCAAGATAATCTTCAGAGATCCCTAAATAGAATCTTACTAACTCATGGTGGAAGGTGATCTTTTGTATGCAATCTGAGTGACGTCAGAATATGACGGGAATAGCACACCTATGTATTTTCGTTCCGCAATGTTACAACTCGTACTGGAGCACTTTGATACATTCAGGAACATTTTGCTAGGAAAGCATTAAAAATTTGATATCGCACAGGCGTACACGGAGAGCTAATTGCTATTATGTGTTGGTTAGTCTATGCTATTATCTTGTACTGGTCCTCTAGGCTCTTTCCATACATGTATAGTATATGTTTAAAACCAAAGAGGGAAGTGCCCTACCAAACTGATATATTTTAACTGTGCGATTTACCAAAAATAGGAAACAATGTGTTGATTTAAGATACTACTGAAAAAGATTTCTTGTTTCATAGAGATTGAATATTAATCTATGGTTCTATAGTATTCTCACAGCACAGCATTTGTAATCAATGGTCCCAATTCGATATCCAAATCTAGAGCTTAGTATAATGGTAAGTCAATCTGGAGGATAACATAGGAAAATAAAGAGGTATACACAGAGAACCAGAGAGGATAGAACAACGGACATTATTGCTACTGCTATGTAATTCTAAAATAGACCGCTCCCCTCCCAGACTCCCGAGTTATTAGGCCTAGTTCTCGTTTTCAGTAGTCAAGGAACGTATGGCGTGTAGTAGAAATGTCAATGGAGGCTCGTTCTAGTTCAGCTCTTTTTAAAAGGGCCGAACAGTTAAGGCGATGGGAAGAATCAGAAACTAATCGTGAATCTACTGTTGTTCCTGAAAAGTCCAGAAAAATTAAGTTTTCCGCGGATTGTGTGTTTTTAGCTGCATGTGCAGCAGGTGACAAGGAGGAGGTTTTACGTTTGCTGGAACAAGGAGCTGTGATTGACACAGTAAACGTTGATGGATTATCTGCTTTACACCAGGTATGTCTATGTCAAATTATTTTATAATTATAATATTTACACAGGCCACATCCTTTTTTGATACAGTTCTTAGGTTTTGGTCGTTTGAAACTAACTAGCCTATTTAAGTTAGCAACGGGAGAAAACTCGTTCAAGGTTTTAAGTGTCAAATTTGGTTTAGGAGAGCCAAGCCTATCGCTGAGTTAGGATCAGCCTAATTTATATAGTTGTCTGATTGTTTGGACGCAAATATTTAAAATACTCATTTTCAGTGTTCTTACCTTTAAGGCCACACATAAGCTTAACTTAGTCCTATTTTGATGAGTTATTGGCCTAAGTTAAAGCAGATGCCCTTGGTAGGCCTAGCCCAGTTTATGTAGTTAGTTATAGGCCTAAGGGCTATGGGCTTAACTTACCACCTTGGTTTATTTTAATTGGTAAATATTTACCCTAGGCCTACTTACACTGGGATATGATGTAGCCTAATTTTGATATGTCTACTTACAGTATTTTTAACGCTGAATCCAAAAATGCAATCAGTTTTGGTCGGAGAGATTCCTAAGTGGCCGTACAGTTAAATAATTAATCTTAAGATTTGGCAATTATTTAGTATGTCTACAACGCGATATTATGTACTTTTTTGATGTTTACTTACAGTATTTTTCACGCTGAATCCAAAAAATGCAATCAGTTTTTGTCGGAGAGATTCCTAAATGATCGTAAAACGAGGGTCAACATTACAAATCTAAGGTTCATTGAGCTAGGCCTATACTGATGGCAATATGGCGTAAGCATTTTTGATATTTTTATTTCATTGTGTTTCACCCACTATTTCAATTGTGCAAAAACAGTCTGGAAGTAGCATAAATTAATGAGTCGGTTCATAATAACCTAACCTTTAACTTACCTAATCTAACCTCACTTCAAAGGACTTAATACAGTCACGAATCCGCATAAAGTTCCTCACATGCCACCTATCTTCCTCACATGCCTTTGCTGACATAAAATGCGATTTAAACATTACTTTTAAGGTTGGGTTGGGTTAGGTTAGGTTAGATTAGATTAGATTAGATTATGTAACATCATTTATTAGTTGCTGATACATTAAATTATGCACTGTGGCACGTTTTCACTTTTAGACACAATGGGATTATGCACTATGGCACGTTCATTAACAGACGTTGAGGCATTAGTCAATGGTTCAGGATTGGAATGAGGACGATGATCATGTCGGCAGTGGCCTTGCTTCTATTACTGATATTTTACGTGAATAGATTCTATTTTGTTCTATAATTTATGTTGATGTGATTAATAGTTTATGTATCGTAGTTGATTTATTGTATTTTCTAAACAGCACCAAAGTCCATTTTCTTTTAAAAATCTAGTTATTGCATATTGTAACTCTGATTTTGCTCTCATGGCGTCGTGTGTGGTTTTGTCTGTTATTATCGAATGTAAACAACTGACAGCTGTTTCCACTCCACAATCCTTCCTCCCCTTTAAGTGTTAGTCGCCACTAGAACTTGGACTCGTCCATACCACAAATATGTGAATATTACAACAAAACTGAAGCTTAATATTAATTATTTAACTGTACGGTCATTTAGGAATCTCTCCGACAAAAACTGATTGCATTTTTGGATTCAGCGTGAAAAATACTGTAAGTAGACATCAAAAAAGTACATAATATCGCGTTGTAGACATACCAAATAATTACCGATTTATTAACATATTTGTGGTATGGACGAGTCCAAGTTCTAGTGGCGACTAAGTTAACACTAAAAGGGGTGGAAGGTTTGTGGACTGGAAACAGCTGTCAGTTGTTTACATTCGATACTTAACAGACAAAACCACGCCCTGAGAGTAAAATCAGAGTTACAATATGCAATAACTAGATTTTTAAAAGAAAATGGACTTTGGTGCTGTTTAGAAAATACAACAAATCAACTACGATACATAAACTATTAATCACATCAACATAAATTATAAAACAAAATAGAATTAATTCACGTAAAATATTAGTAATAGGTATTTTTTTAGGATTTGTGATAGAAGCTAGGCCACTGCCGACATGATCATTGTCCTCATTCCAATCCTCAACCATTGACTAATGCCTCAACGTCTGTTAATGAACGTGCCATAACTTACTTAGTGCATAATCCCATAGTACCGGTACATAATTTCATTGTGTCTAAAAGTGAAAACATGCCACAGTGCATAATTTAATGTATCAGCAACGAATAAATTATATTACATAATCTAATCTAATCTAGGCCTAATCTAACCTATCCCAACCCAACCTTTTAATGTTTAAATCGCATTTTATGTCAGAAAAGGCTTGTGAGGAACGAGGAAGATAGGTCGGACTTTATGCGGATTCGTGACTGTATTAAGTACTTCCAGACTGTTTTTGCACAATTAAATAGTGGGTGAAACACAATGGAATAACAATATCAAAAATGCTTCAAGCGCTAACCTTTACCTTCCTAATCTAACCTCACTTCAAAACACTTAATACAGTCACGAATCCGCCCTACCTTCCTCACATGCCTAAATAAGAACTGATTATTTGGTTTCAAAACGAATTGATTTGATTTCATTCCGCATTAGATCAAGTATACAGTTGTTTGATTTTCTCACTCAGTCCTCACTCCTCACTCAGTACGGACCCGTCTATACCACGCCATATTACCATTACCTTCAGTACCGTACCGCTCAATTATCCTTAGATTCGTAATCCTAACCTTCGTTTTACGGCCTACGTTTTTCTGTTCCGGGACACCCTGTATATTTGTTAATTAAGTAAGTAAACTATGACAAGTTCCAATGGGAGAAAAAACGATATTGTTTGTCGATTTTAAACAGGTAGGCCTACTGTCTGTTGCTCGCAAAAGAGTTAAGAATCAGCCGATGATTAGGCCTAATTTGATAGAATATCTAACGTCAATTGCACCTTTAAGAGGAATAGGTACCACCACATAAACTTACACTAATTGTAGGTTTTTTATGTCGATCAGAAAAAAATCTAGGGTTAAGTTTGGTCAATAAGATGCCTTTACTTTAGGTACCGTACCGCTCAATTATCCTTAGATTCGTAATCCTAACCTTCGTTTTACGGCCACTTGGGAATCTCTCCGACAAAAACTGATTGCATTTTTGGATTCAGCGTTAAAAATAGCCCACTGTAAGTAGACATATAAAAATTACATCATATCCCAGTGTAAATACAGTAAATAGGCCTATTTGCCAATTAATTAATTGAAATGTAAGTCTTAACACAAGCTGCCATCTGTAGGCCTAACTTAGACAGCCTTGGTTAGGCACATCCATTGGTTAGGCTTAATGCAATTTACTAAACTTAACCATTTTGTAACCATCTGTACCGTTGGTTATGATGTGCCGGTGGATAAAAATAGTCTAATACACAGTCCCTTCAAATTTGTAAGTTAGTCATTTCGTCCGCTGACTACCACGAACATTGCAGACCTCTTTTTAGTAAACTCAATATCCTTAAAACAGTATACAGCCAGTACATTCTAATCACCCTAAACAACGTAAGGACCAACATCTCTAGTCTTGCATTGAGAGAAGACCAACATCATCACAATACAAGGTCAAAATCCAACCTTGATATCCCTTTCTGCAGACTAAACAAAAAAAAGGACAGCTTTCCTATGTTGGCAATTAGGATGTACAACCGACTGCCACTGTACTTTCAAAATCTTGAGGCCTCAGTTTTCAAAAACGAACTGAGGGAGTGGCTACTGGCAAGACCCTTGTACTCCCTAGATGAGTTTTATAAAATTTGCGTCTAACCTGCCGCCAAACTTGTAAATATGTATATAAATATTATTATTATTTTTATTTTGACTCAGTCTATCCAGCAAGAGCTGGTCAACGACGTCGAGGGAGTAAGTAAGTAAGTAAGTTAGGCAAATTTGTAGGTTTGGGTACTTAGGCCTATACCTAGGCCTATTTACAGTTCCACAGAGAACCTACGATATTAGCCTAAAATATATTTTTAAGTTAGGTAAGTTACTGAGCTTGGAATTAACTGAAATATTATTTTGATATTGATTAAAATCAATTTAACTTAGTTAAATATTGAATGTAGGCCTAAATATGGATTTTCTCCTGGACTTTTCTTGTAGAGAAAGATTAACTTAACATCAACCACGTTTTTACAGTGGACTGGGGTGTTTAAGGCCCAATTACCAAATTCTCGCTAACGATGATATAGTTAATCTTCGGTTAAAACTAACCGATGATTTAAACCACAGTTAAGGAAACCTGGTTTCACCAACGAAAATGCGTCAAAACTAATGCTGGTTTTATAAACAAGAGTTTAGGGTAAAATCCAGGTGGCTGTGGCAGTGAACTGTCATAATACCGGGCTGTTATGGCCATGGGAGCTAGTAAACATAACCTAGAAAATAAATCGGTGTTAATGAGGTAGTGGAAAACAAAACTGGAGACAGCAAGCTTACAGGAATACAATAGATTCTGAGCAAAAAGAACAAATTGTCAACATAAAGCAAGAAAAAATAGCAAAACAATTAACATAAGTAAATAAAGGCAAAGCAATGTTGATCAAACAAATTCAATTGAGGAACTAATTGATTGAGTTTTGCGGTCGAATCAAGACTTAAAATCTAACAGGGATGTTCAATATTCTGTTTGTTAACTAACCACTTTGCCTGTCAGTTCATTGGCAGCGCCAGCATGGCAACGCTGGTGGCGCTGCCTACAAATTGACAGGCGAAGCTCTCTCAAAGTACTTAACGCTTTTTACTATGCGGTTGGCATTCTGGGTTATAGTAGTATGTTTTTTGGTTACGGTACAGTAATTGAAGTAGGGAAACATTATGTGAAATGGTAAAAATCTCTGTGGAACTTTACCATGATTTTAATAATTTTTAAAAATTTTTAATGGTCTAGTAAATTTAGAGTTTCAAATCTAGACTAAGCCTATAGGCCTACCGGTGATATAAACTTATATCAGCGCTCTCCAAAATTGATAA